GATATAAAAAGAAAATGCTACCGAGTCTGTATCACAAACAAGTCACAGACTCCCACTCATTCCTCCTTTTTCCATTCTCCCTCCTCCCTTTTAATCTACAGTTCAGGTGTTTGGAGTGATTTTTTTGCTTAATATTGACTCCCTGTCCCTTTTGATTTAACCTTTCTTTGGGAGTCATGGGTCTAGAGGTTGTCTTGCTCAACTCAGGATCCAAGATCTGAGTCAAATTTGGCCAAGGTCATTGTGCTGCTTTCCTGAAAAGACATTCATGCTCACAGTGCCTGTCAGGGATACTTGTTGGATTGATATTGGGTAACCTGTAATGAACTCCCTCATCTAAAGGGACTTTTCACAATTCCCTTTGTTGCTTCTTCTTTTTCTTCAAAAACAAAGAACAGCCTTGGCAGCTGTGAAAGCTAGTCTTTACACAGGCTTTGCCCTTTTATTTTTCTTTATTGCTTACAATTGTTAACCATTGTGTATAATTTACCTAAAGCTACTTAGATCTCCCCATCAGAATACATCAATAATCCTTCAGCTGCAGCTTGCTTTTAAAAAATTGAAAGTTTCTTGATGGCTTTACCTTATCTTTTTTTCTCAACAGGTAGAATCCATGCAAAACGTCTGTCTGGTGCTAAGCTAATATTTTATGATTTGAGAGGAGAAGGAGTGAAGATTCAGGTAATGGCAGATGCTAGAGCTGCTGAACAAGATTTTGTTGAGGTCCACAATAAGATTAGACGTGGTGATATAATTGGAATCCGTGGAAAACCAGGTATCTTAATTAGTTCAGTTTAAATTTCTTTGTTTTGTATTGTTTTTTTATATACCTTAGCTTTGATAAAGTGCTTGATAAGGAATTTATAAACATTCTTTTTCAATAATTTCTATTGACTAAGAGTAGTTCTAGTTTGTATCAGGATTTTTAACTGTCATTTGATTGCTTGATGCTAAATTATGGCACCTGAATATACAAAAAACTGACCCCCAAGATATTCATTTTCCATTAGGCAAAACAAAGAAGGGTGAATTGAGCATCCTGCCATCAGAGGTTCAATTGCTATCACCTTGTCTGCATATGCTCCCTCATCTTCACTTTGGATTGAAGGATAAGGTATCCACTCTAACATTTCGCATTGCAGAATTAAAGCTTTTCTTATTGTAGTCTATATTAGAGTTTGAATGCCTTTAGCTTTGGTGTGCTTCAGAGATTTCCTGTGCCTATAAATCCACCATTGTGAAACTGGAGTACATTGTGCTTAAGTGCAATCAAACCTACGTTCGACCAGAAGAATGACGTAAATTTGATTAACCCCTAACAGTTGTTTTGGCTTAGCTGACTCAATGTTTAGGGTGAAGATTGCCCATTGTTTTCATGTCACTTTTGGGCATACATTACACTGTTATGGGGGAGAGAGAGAGGACACAAGAGTTTTGTGGGCAGATTATTAGTTAGGTGGCAAAATTGCAATTGTTGTCATAGTTTTCTGATATGATTAGAGTGTTACCAAATGTACAATTTCTTCTGTTTTTTTTTTTGTAGGAAACAAGATATAGACAGCGTTATCTGGATCTCATTCTCAATGACAAAGTGCGGCAAAAATTTATTGTCAGAGCAAAGATCATCAATTATGTTCGGAAGTTTCTTGACAATTTGGGCTTTCTTGAAGTAAGTGGATTTCAATGGTACCATGCCTTAAAATGCCCAGATGAGAGATACACCCATAAGATATAAGGTCTGCAGACCATTTTTACCTGGGAAACCTTGACATTTCTGGAAAACTTTTGAAGAGTCACTTAGTATATAGCATTACTGAATTACTTTAGATGTTTGAAATATGAATTAAATGGGTACTTTGTATATGAAATCATAAACCACACTGCAACTTATTCATAGACCAGATGATTTTATGTTGAACTGAATCTAGATTTTGAACATGTTGCCTTAAAACTTAATATCTATTTGCCTATCACAATCAAAAGTCAGCAATTGCAATTGGATCTCAAGACCACAAAAGTATGACTGTTCCTGCATGCTCAATTGGCTTTTGCAGCCACACATTTTAAAATGGTTTTGAATATTCCTGATGTTCATGATTTTTTGAGTTTAACAATAATTTGTTACAGTCTTATGATAAAAGAATGTGAATGAAGCAATTATTATAAGCAATCAGTTCTTGCCACAAGGTAGAAACACCACTGATGAACATGATTCCAGGAGGAGCTGCAGCCAAACCTTTCATCACACACCACAATGACCTGAATATGGATCTCTACATGAGAGTTGCTCCTGAACTGTATCACAAAGTAAGCAAGATAGTGTCACTAATTTTCAGCACTGCCTGGTACTGAACTCATGAGGATTGTGGATTAAGACATCCCAAGGGTGTTGTCCTGCTCATGAGCCAAGTAAACTGCATCAGCTTATTTGGGCGTGAGATACATGTAACTAGTGGTACTGATATCCCCTGTCACTGAGGCTACCCTGGGCGTTCACTTTTATGTATTCATACACTTAGGTAGAGAGAGGCACTATGAGAATAAAGTATAGTGCCATGAGTGTTCATGAAGAAATGTTCTTGCTTGTGCCACAAATGTGGTCAATTGAATGTGTTTAAGAATTGTTCAGCAATTTTTTTTGGAAACTTGGCACAAGTGTTTTGTACAATGTTGTTATTTGCTATAATTGATCACTGTATCCATGGTAAGGAGTTAAACTGCACATGTGTTTGTGTCATGAGGTGTTAAATAGACTGTTTGGAACTGCTAAGGGACCACTTTGAATGACATATGAATGACTTGGATGTTTTGGATCTTTTTGTTTATTGGACTATTTTTTAAGAGAAGACCTAAAGGACAGGTGTGGTTTCTGAAGGAAAAACTAACTTGTTTGATTTTATCTTCTCTTTAGATGCTTGTTGTTGGAGGAATTGATAGAGTGTATGAAATTGGAAGGCAGTTTAGGAATGAAGGTACCTGATGAGACAAATTATTTACACATCTATATCAAACATGTTGTGCTTCAGCACTTGTTAAAATCAAAGTGAAAACAATATGTTAGACTTGGGTGTTTCCTTTCTCAAGAATGTTATACCGTAAAGCAAAGTGGGTCTAGGGTAAACTTAATAACTGAGTTTTGAGACAGGGCTGTGTCTGCATATTAGGTCTTCTAGCTCAGAGCTAAAAAAGTGGTCATGTGGTGACCTCAGAGTCACTAGTTGCAGTAACTAGTTGTTAGGGATGAGAATGGAGTGCTTTGTTCTCTCATGTAAACACACCTATTGACCAATGAGAGCATGTGTAATGGTTATTTCATGTCTTTGTTTCCTGCAGGTATTGATATGACTCATAACCCAGAGTTCACCACTTGCGAGTTCTACATGGCCTATGCAGATTACAATGATCTTATGGAGCTTACAGAAGTTATGTTGTCTGGTAAGTCGCAATACTGACCTATTCTCTTACTTTCCTTATGTTAACTTCTTAAAAGTATGCAAGTAAGTAATTCTGTAGAACAAAATATCAAGTATCAGTCATCTATACTGAAAATATTTTGGCTTATCTAAAAGAATATAACTACATAAGATGGTATTTCTGAACTAGTTCATGTAATGTTGCTCAGTTTCTAAAGATTATTATGGAGCATATTGCACAGAAAAAGGTTGTTAACTCAAAGAAAAAAAACAGTTTGAAAATGCCCTCATAGATTGTTGACCAAGCATATATTTTATTATGTTTTTCAGGAATGGTCAAGTCACTAACAGGGGGTTATGTGGTTACATATCATCCAAATGCAACTGATCCTGAAAACCTTGGTGAACCTCTGACAGTAGACTTTACTCCACCTTTTAAAAGGGTTCGCATGGTACCTGATCTTGAAAAGGCATTGAATGTCAAGCTGCCTCCCCCATCTGAGTTTGGCACATCAGGTAACACTTCAAGACTTTTGACTTCATCTAAATAAAAATCCTCTCTTTCTGTGAATGCCAGTTACACCCCAAGAAAGTTATATAATTTTACACTCTGCTGTATGTTAAACCATGTAATTTACATTTATGATATATTACTGATTACTTTCAGAGACAAGGCAGATTTTAGATGATTTGTGCATCAAACACAATGTGGATTGCAGTTCTCCGAGAACCATTACAAGACTGTTAGACAAAGTTAGCCTCAATTCATCTCTTTGTGATAAATTTTATAATTGTATTTTAACCGTATATCAAATGTGTTTCAGTAAGTGGGCTGGAGAATTTTTGAATAGGGAAATTTTTGCTTGTAAGTGTGGAAATTTTTTTGTTATAAGCAGCAGGGAGGCAAATTATGATTTCCAAATGTTAATGTGAATACTGGTTGAGTTTTCAAGAGGAAATGCATGATACATGAACAGATATTATAAATGGAATAAGCTGAGCTGCTGTAAGAGATATTCAGAGTATAATGTTGCTGCTTCGTGTAAAGTTATGTTATGGTAGTACACCTTGCTGGGCAAGTGACATAGCTACTCAGCTGTGACTGTCAACATAATCATGCGAGGTTAGATTGAATTCCAAGTTCATCACAGCTCTTCCGTTATGATGGAATTAAGCTGTTTCATGCCTTGGAGACAAAACATTCAGTCATGCACTTGTGAGAAACTAAGGACTCTTGTGACAAGCGTTTTTTACAAGATGTTTTATTGGTCCTAAAGAGCTTAGCACAGTGCAACAAATCAATATTCAGACAATTAGCTTGTTGTTGGATAAGGATGCTGAAAGATATTGGAACTCTGCAGCCTTAGAACCATTACAAATGACTTACTTCCTTTTTTCATTTGACAGCTTGTTGGTGAATTTCTGGAAGAGACCTGTGTCAATCCAACTTTCATCATTGATCATCCTCAAATAATGAGCCCACTTTCAAAGTGGTAAGTAACATGCATAAATCAGAACAATTTTGATATTTGGATTTCTATAAACACTCAGTGAGTAGATCAATAGACTGTCCTCTCCTAGTTACATGATGTCTTGAGAACCAGGGTAGTGTTGGTGGGTTTGGGCCACTTGGCTTGTGTGTAAGACCTCTCTTAAACCTCACCAGGCACGTTTGCTGTAGTTCAGTTACTGCAGACTATTTCACGTGAGGTGATAGGATCATCCTTGTTGCATTCATTTGCTGCCACCTGAAAGCACTGAGTAAGTGATGGCTTGGGTGCTCATGGGAACATATTTTTACAACTAGAAGAAAACTAAAAACATTACTAAACAGGACGCATTATTGGTGACCCAACCTCAAAGCTTTTCTTCTCCCCTGCTGTCCAGCCACGTAACAAATTTTTAATAATTTTATTATTTCCTTGTTTTCTGGTCAGGCATAGATCTGTCCCTGGCCTTTCTGAGAGATTTGAGCTCTTTGTTTGCCGTAAAGAGGTGTGCAATGCATACACAGAATTGAATGATCCTGTTGTACAGAGGGAGATGTTTCAGCTTCAAGCCAAGGTAAACAGAAATTCTTTTTCTTCAGCAGAGCGCTTCTGATGGAGTGTTGTAAAACCAAAACCAAAGTAATCACAATGGCCAATCAAAAGAAAGGAACATACCTTTAACCCTTTAACTCCCTTGAGTGACCAAGACAGAATTTCTCCCTACATTATCCATACAATTTTGAGCAGACTAGTGATGAGAATAAAGAGAAATATCAATTAGGGGACCACAAGTTGATCCAACACCAAATTCTCCAAACTAACATCACAAGAACTGTATGGAAGACAGTAAGGAGAATTACTAATGAGATCTTGGAAGTTAAGGGGTTAAGAGCCAATGAGAACTTGAAGTAAAACCAACCACACTGCCTGGATCAATCACAGAGTGAAGTAAGCAAAACCAAAGGAATCATGTATTGACTTCCAACACTCGATTGAAAATTGCTCTATATAGGGAAGGTTGAGAAAGTCAAATCACTATTTTTTCAAACTATTTTACCATTGCGATATTTTTTGATTGTGTAATTATGTATAACTCCAACCTTACTTGGGCATGTATCATAGCCTAATGGCAATGATTGTCAACTAAATCATGTGAGGTCAAAGTAATTTCCAAGTTCATCACAGCATGTTCTTTGTAATGGACATAAACTGTTTCATGCCTTGGAGACATATAGGAAATTTTCCCATTGTGCCTTGAATGTCTGAGACTTATCTTCTAGTTGGGAGGTGAACTCAACACACAAGTGCAGAAGATGGGCATCTTTAATGGTGACGTTTTAAAAACTGGGTCGTCAAATAAAGTAATCACAACTTCTTTCCAAATAAAAGAAAATAACACAAGGAGCCGATGATTTCTCTGTACATTTTAAAAAACTACCTTAAAGGATCCTCATCAGCCATGCCTCTTTTTTTTTTGTTTACATATGGGCAACTGGGAGAAAATTGTTCATATTACACTTAATGTCTGACAGGAGTTGTGCTGGCCTGTCAGCACATTTTACTAGGCTTAAAGAAAGGAAAAAGTGAGAATATTACACTTTCCTGAGAAAAAATGCTGTTGGGAATTTGATTGGACTTAATATTGATCCTTTCACTATACAACACTTTTAGAAAGTCTAGCTGAGTTGTGTCCACCTTAGTTGCTTAAATTAATTTTGTTCCTGTAGGATAAAGACGCTGGTGATGATGAGGCAATGTTCGTGGATGAAAACTTTTGCACAGCTCTTGAGTATGGCCTGCCACCCACAGCTGGTTGGGGTATGGGAATAGACAGACTCACAATGTTCCTTACGGATTCAAATAACATCAAGGTTTGTTTTATTTTGTTTATTTTGCCTTTTCTTTTTCCATCTTTAATTTTGATACCCTACTTCTGGTGTCATCTCACTCTGGAACTAAA